GTACCTGTCTGTTTGGGAAAGGGGAGAGACCTTGATAAGGAGTCTTGGGGTAGAGGTGCCCAGATGGATTTCACCCTCCAATCACCTTCAATTTGGGGCTCTTGGGCACCAGTCATTCTGCCCCAAAAGTCATTTTGGAAGACAACAAAGCTCCCAGGCTTCCTTCTTGTGTGTGTGGAGTGGGGTGGGGAGGTTAGTCTTAAGAAATCATTCTCCTTGAGGCCAGAGCAATAGTATAGCCAGTAGGGCACATTCTTGCATGCAGTTAACCCAGGTTCAATCCTTGGCATCTCGTATGATACCTGAATACTGCCAGGAGTAATTTCTGAGTGCAAAAGCAGGAGTAACCCCCAAGCACACTGGGTATGGCTGACTCCAAAAACAAAAGGGAGGGGGGAGGGAAAGAGGGCGAGAGGAAGGGAGGGAGGGAAGAAAGGCATAAGGGGGAGAGAGAGGGAAGGGAGAGAGAAAGGGAAGTAGGAATGGGGGGCATCATCTTCTATTTGGTTACTGAAATCCTCAAGAAATTCTCTGCCTTTCAAGGAGAGATTGACAAACTGTTATGATGATGATGATGATGATGACGATGATGATGATGATGATGATGATGATGATGATGATGATGATGATGATGCCATGATTGTCACTGTGAGTTTCTAGGGGCTCACCTTTCTCCTGGCAGAGCTGGGCTCTGTTTTGTAATGATCCTGTTCCTGCTACAAGAGCCTTAGAAACAGTCTGAGTTCATCTGTCTCCAAGCTATCAGTACACCTGAAGTCTTGGATCTGAAAGCACAAAGGTCTTCCAATGGAAGAGTGAAACTGTATCCATACCTACATCTAGTCCTGACTCTGCTGCCCTATTTCTAGTGGTAAAAACTGAGTTTTCCTGGAGAGAATGCTTTACTGATACACACACTACATATGGTAGCTCTCACATCACCAGCATTTGGTGCTGCATGGCCGCCCCATGCGCCGGACCTCAAGTTCTTGGTTTGCTTTTATATACACTTACTTTAACCTAAACCTGTTGGTCCCTAAAAAGTCAATTATGTTTGCTTGTCAGTCTGTTTTTAAGTTACTTGAAGTAACTCCCTAAACAGAGTGACCTCTCCTTACTCACCCTACCAACATAGGCACTTGCTCTCAGTGACTTTTCTTTGGGATTCTTGCTTTCACATCATCTTTGAAACTTTCCTCCTATGGCCTTCTGCTGGCCTACGGATCAACCCCGTCATGTTTCTAGCCCAGAAGTGAAGACTGAGAATTCTGTGGTTCTTCATTTGACAATGATCAAGGTGATACATTTACAATCCCAAGGCAGAAGCTCTGAGCTGCAAAACTTTCCAATCCACTTTATGTTTTATTTCCTTGGCTTCTTTTCTCTTTCTCTTCACATGTGGTCAGGCAAAGCGTTTATAGACTTTGTCTCTGGGGCTGATTCAGTTCTAAATGACCCACAACTGGAAATTCCATCACCGAGGGACTAATTTTGCTATTGTTCAGTGCATCTCACAAGAATGTGGCTGAGTACTAATCACATATCATCTAAGATCTGCTGGGTTTTCTGCCAGAAGAGTTCTTACTTGGCTCAACAGAGGTCATTTCAGCTGCATTTCAATGGCTTCCTGGACTCCAAACTACATATTTCCTCCACAGAATTTCCTTCATAAAATTACCTCCCTTCTCTCAGGCACTTCAGCAGGCAGCAGGCAAGTGATGTTCAGAGAGAAACTGCATGGCAGTGGAGAAAGTGTACCAACTCTAAAGAGGTTCTAGAAAGCTGCTTGAACAGACTTCTTTGACTCTTGTGCCCTTCCTTTCTGCAAGCACTTTGTAAGCAGGATTAAGCCTGAACTGTAGGCTCAATGATGGAAAAGTTAATAATGGGGGAGCTAATATTCAAAGTTAATCATGTGTGAGGGTGGAAAGTAAAGGGGGAAATCTTGGTCTCTTCCTCTTGGTTTTTCTATAAACCTGAAACTGCTCTACAAAGGAAAGCCTGTTTTCAGAACTTGTTTGAGATCATGCTGACTCGTCTGCGAACATTGCTTTTAACAATCCCAAGCCATCTGGGGCCAGAATTTCCACCCCGTCCCTTCCTTCTTTCTGATTTCTCACCCGGACCTCCCCAAAGACAATCAGAGAAATGAACCAGGCTGAGGTCAAGACTGGTCTCAGGTGTCCTGGGAATCTGGTTTCAATTGCACTCCCATCTTTGGTTAGAAATATACATTTGGTTTTTGGTTTTTGGTTTCTTTTTGGTTCACACCTGGCAATACTCAGGGATTACTCCTAGTGGTGCTCTGGGGACCATGTGGGACTCAGGTATTGAACCCAGGTTGACTGCATGCAAGGCAAACACCCTCCCTGCTGTGCTATTGCTCTGGACCCAGCGAAATGTAGTAGGACAAGACTAATCCACCACCAAAGCTTCTGCATGTGTTTCTGCATGTACAAACAGGGGCCCAGCATGAGTGCTTTTATTCGTTCAAGCAACACCTTTTGTTAAATGATGGTGTTCAGAGGCTACACACTGTTTAGGGTCCCCCATAACAGGCAGGGCCACCAGCCGCCAGAGCCCCAGCCCCTGCTCAGTTGTGCTGGAGAGAAGAAACAGAGAAAAAGCAAAGGCAAGGAGCAAGGCAGAAGTGGAGTAACTAGTGAACTGAACATGAGGTCCTTCAAAACACGACCCCGTGTGCTGAGCATTCAAAAGACGTTTGCTCTTACTCCTTTTCCATCTGGATGGTAGTGTGAAGTCCAATAGACCCATGTGTCCAGGCTCCCAAATAGGCTTTCTTTCTCCTACTTGCTGTTTCTAGATATTTCCTCAAGGCTCTGATAGCCCCTGAAGCACCCATCCTCAGGCCTTTGTGCCAGGTGAAACCAGGCTGCCTGGTCCTTTCTCCCCTGACTATGTCCTGTTGGTGGTCTTGAGGGTGGAGACCAATTTCCCTGTGTACTTAAGGACCTGAACATAATAACAGCTCAATGAACATTTCTTTTTGAAAGGAGGAGGGGCATGGTCTGTGTATAGCTAGGATCTCCTGGGATGGTTTTCTGTGTGTAGGAGTCTTACTGAAAATAGAATAGGCTTTGGCTGTGTTGATTGGGAGGATACAGAAAAAGAGATTGAAAGTTTTCTTTGTCTGGAGTTGCTTCTTTTCTGAAGAAGATGGTTTTGATCTTCACTGGCTCCTCAATTATTCTTTTGCTTTTTGGGTCACATCCGGTGATGCTCAGGTAACTCCTGGCTCATGCACTCAGGAATCACTCCTGGTGGTGCTTGGGGGACCATATGGGATCCTGGAAATTGAACCCAGGTTGGCTGCATGCAAGACAAATGCCCTACCCGCTATCACTCCAGCCCCATCCTCAGTTATTCTTGCCAGGGATGAAGGTGCCTTCTGAGGCCCCAGAGTGATGAGGACTTTAATGTGATAATAGCAGAGCAACTGGACAGAAGAGAGATGAGAGATGTCTCCACCAGGGCCAGGAAATGGGGTTGATTAAATCCCAGCTGCCCCTACCCCCAGTTTTCATGCCCCCCATTTCATGCCCTCTACCCCGCAGCCCCCAAACTGACAATCAGTTGCAAAATCCTCTGGGGAAAGAGTTGGCTGAAAAATCAGAACATTTGTGGGTCAATTGACCACTCTCTGGAGTTTGAAGTGAAATTTACCAAAACAGTCCTAATTCAGTGTTAGGAGGTCTTTGTCAGCCCTTGGAAATGAGCAACGATTTTTTTTAAAATTTTAGTAATGTAATTTTTAAAAAATTTTTATTAGTGAAACACCATGAGGTACAGTTTTAGACTTACAAATTTTTGTGCTTCGGTTTCAATTATACAATGATCAAATACCCATCCCTTCACCAGTGCCCATTTTCCACCACCATGGATCCCAGTATCCCTCCCACCCCCATCCTCCCCATCCAACCCTGCATCTGTGGCAGGGTATTCCCTTTTGTTCTCTCTCTCCTTTTGGGTGTTGTGGTCTGCAAAAGAGGCATTGAGTGGCAATCATGTTCGGTCCATAGTCTACTTTCAACACGCATCTCCCCTCCTGGGAGGATCCTCCAAACACCCTTTATTTGGTGCTCCCTTCTCTATCTGGGCTGCCCTTTCCCCATCGATTTTAACCACTGTAAAATGGATATGTTTTGAAGTGATTTGGGGGTGAGGAAGGGAAACACGGGTCCCAACTCAAACAGATTCCTGCAGATGGTTTGTGTTCTGCTATTTTTTTTATTAAAAAAATTTTTAATAGTGAGACATCATGAGGCACAATTGCAGACTTACACATTTTTGTGCTTGGGTTTAAATTATACAATGATCAAATACCCATCCCTCCACCAGTGTCTGCTATATTTTTAATAATTGTTTTAATAACAAGCAAGTGCTTGTTTAAAATTCTACAACAGTCCTTAGAATAATCCATGTGCCTGGGATGGTTGTTCATGCCTGAGCTTCTCTAACTAGAATGTTCTACACAGCAGAACCCCGCGCTCACAGTGAAATAGCTAATACAGGGCTACAGGCACCTCTGTTTGCATTCATCATCTTAGAATTTTACTCTCCTCATTCTGATTGTCATGTTGAGGGTTCTGTCTGAAAAAAGTGGGCTATGGGGGTGTGGGGAGAGAGTGGAATGCACTTGTATTGAAATACAAATCCTTTAGTTAAAAGGATTTGTTCAAAAGGTTGAATTGTGTTCCAAAAATACAATTCATTATATCCCCCCTCATATGTCTTGCAGAATTTATTTCATTTGGTTTGTATGAATTTATCAGCTGAATTGGGATTCCATCCCCACTTGAGGCAATTAACTTGAAGAGTGACCACAAGCCCGGGCTCCCGCCCTTTCCCCAACACCCACACACATATGCTAAATAACAAGCAAGCTGCGAAGGGGATTTTTCTTTCATTTCCCTTCCCTTGTCCTCTCTGAGCTTCTCCTCCACACTGGCCTGTGAAATAAATGATCTGTCTCTTTGCAGGACAGCGACAACCTCTGGTGGGACGCATTCGCCACTGAGTTTTTTGAAGACGACGCCACGTTAACCCTTTCATTTTGTTTGGAAGATGGACCAAAGCGATACAGTAAGAAAGCAGTTTATTTTTCTAACATTCCCTCTTCAGGGGCTTCTGAGAAGCCTGGTGTGTGTGTGGGGGGGTGGGGGGACGGGGGTGGTTGGGGTGGGTGGGTGTGGTCATAGCTTGGAGCTGATAGGCTGATGATGAGGTTTCTGCACCTTATACACTGCCCACTGAGGTGTGGGCATCGGTGTGGACTCAGCCTACCAGAGTTGAGTTGGCAGTGAGAGATTTCCTTTCAGGCTGAGAAGGTTGAACACTTGACTGTTTAGAGAGCAAGGGAAAAAACAGACGAGGCACCCTGTGATATATGGAAGCTACGTTGCAGACACTTTCCATCTATCTCTTCTCTGTGCCCCACCCTCCCTTTTATTCTTGGCAGCTCTCACTTGCTACCGGAAATTCTACTTCTGAAGTTTTCTGTAAAAAATAGGAATTATCCTAGGCACTGTGTCAGTCTCATTCTTTCCTCTTATCAGTGATCTCAGGTATTCGTTTGACAAGTGCCATTTTTTTTTTCTGGAGGGTTGCTTTGAATGTACAGTTTAGGATTCGTGTTGACTGTTGACAGAATTATAGTGCCATGTCTTTCCTCTGAGGGATGGCTTCATAAAGGTTCTCAAATTATAGCCCATTGGCATCTTGGGAAACAACCTATCCTGATTAGGTTCAGCCAACTTGTCAGAGAACAAATCCGCCGGTTATGCTCTAGACTAAGTGCCAACGACACAACAGTACAAAGGCAAGTCATGTCCAGTTCCATCACAGAGAACTGTGTTATCAGAAATCAGAGTTGCATGGATAGAATGCCATGTTGGAAGGGAAAAGTGTCCAGTTGTCACTAATAGTGGGATGAGGATGGAGTCAATTCAGAGCTTTTGCCAATGGCAAGACCACAGATTCTACCTGATGCCTGCTAAATGTACTTCACTCACTAGAGTGTAACTATTGGTTTTGTTTGGGGGGACAAGACTGTAGACAACTGTAGCATTTGGATTTATTGCACGACAGTTGATTATTTATGCTAATACATGCATGGTGATTTTGCAATGTTGGCAAACTAGGGAGAACAGGACATTTTGGACTTTTTACCCAGCTGGGACTCATGGTTGGGAAGATTTCTTGATTCGCTGATAAGGGCATGGGGCATTTTTCGTCTATATTTTGGGGGATGGAGGCAGTAACCATGGTGCCACGGATTGTTTTGAACTGTCTGTATATTAAACCTAGCAATTTTTGTCACAAACTCTGGTGAATGCACTTTCTGGAGGTTCGGATGACTTAACTTGTTTTCCAGGTGTGAGGATATATCCCCAAGCCCTACTGCAAGTCGCAAGTCAAGCTGGGCTCAGAAGCTGTATTTTAGGAGTCTCTAGGAAATAAACACACAAATCTATCAATTATTCTCTCATCCAAAGCTTGCTTGATCAATGATGAATAATTTTGAACCAAGCAGTCATCCATTCTTGGAGTCTTACATTTTTCTGAGCCATAAACTCAAATAATTCCAAGTTATTCCTGCTTTTTGTTCTGGTGCTTTTTAATGTTTATTATTAATTATTATTATTATTATTATTATTATTATTTTGGTTCATGAATCCATTAGCTGCTGCTCAGTGTATGAGAATTATGGGTTGAAAGCCTGCACTAATAAAAAGGATTCTCCGCCTTCCCTCTGTCCACCCCCCACCCTTCCTCCTCTGGAGATGGGCTCGTGAGAGGCTTTTGAGAGCTCGCCACATCCAGGAGTGTAAGCCTGATCTGCCATTGTTGCCCAGGTTTCTTTGTTTCTCAGAGCCAAAATATTTCCTGAGCACAGACGAGAAACCAAGCTGATTGACAGTGTACAGCCCAGTCTCCTCAGCTGCTGCGCTGACAGCCCTGTGACGTGCCCGCGCTGCTGATGTGCTGGCGAGTGACAGTTGATTGACAGCCCAGGACTGGGAGAGGGGGCAGCCGGGCAGCTCTGTGCGGCTGTTTATGCAGCGCTCCAAGGACGCTGCTGCCACCTTAACCCCTTCGCGGGTACAGCTCCCAGTGCCAGGCTATAGTGAAACACCTGCTGGCGCGGGGGGTGGGGGTGGGGGGGTTAGGGGCCGCTGCTCTTCCTGCCTACCTCCCAGGGAACCCAGAGCTTGGCATTTGGAGGGGGAAAAACGGTTATTAGATGTGTCTATATTAAAAATGCGTACTGATTTACCAAGAAATATTTCAAATGAGGATTATTTAACCCTTTCTAGGGGGAAAAAATCCTACCTCTTCCCCCGTTTTAGTGTCTTTAAGGGACCTGCTAGTTCTGACCAATCTCGATCTCTAGGCTACCGTAAATCCTGTAATAGGCATTTGTTATCGATCTGTGTCCATGAGCCCCTACTCTAATGCTAGCCGCATCTGCATGTGCTCAGGTTTCTTTTTTCTCTTATTTATCACTTGATTTTCAGATTAATACAGAGATTGGCACTTAACAAGAACATAGTCACTTTGCTGAGTGAGTAAGTAAATATATGGAAGATATTCAGGGAAGAGGCGTTGATCACCAAATACAGTGTTGGCAAAACAGCTCTTTTATTAAGAGCTTTGGACTTATTTCAAACTGGAAGAACTTAGTGGTTAGGGCTCTCCTGGCATTTTAAACTCTGAGGCTCTGGCATAGGGTCTGATGTGCTCAAAGCCGGGGTTAGAATGGGGAGCCACACCATCCTCGGGAGATACGGTGCTATTCCTTTAGAAAGTTCCTCTGTGTTGATAAAGGTGCTCTACCCAACTGACTCCCTAACGCAGGTGGAGGCAGCCCCTCCAGTGGAATAGGACTGGGTCCCATGGAGACTGTAATATCTCCCCAACGAGAGGAGGATGTGGTTGTATAGAGTGGTTCCAAATGGACGTGCTAGAAGTTGGCTTTCTTTTGAGTCATCCTTACCAGTAGGTCACTGGTTAAAGACTATGAGAGCTGAAAACATCTTTTCAGAAATCAGAAAGTTGGTCCAGAGAGCCCCAGCTAGTGAGCTCTGCTCTAAGATCTACCATCTGCAAACTCAATAGGTATGAGCTCTGTACAACCATCAGCCCTGTGCCATCCTCTGTCTACAAGATCCTAAAGAAAACTAGTGAATTCTTCAGTTCACGCATCTCCAGGGATTTAAGTGACAAGTGTTGCCTGTGCCTTAGGTGACAGAGAAGGCCCAGGAGGTGGAGAAGCAGTGTCCTCAACATTATCTGCATGCCCACTCTGCGGTTTGACCCATATGGTCTCTTACTTTCTCTCTCAATCTGGCACAGAAGTGGGATGACAGCCTACTTGAGCATCAACCAAGCATTGATTTTTCCCCATTCCTTTCTGGGGAAGTGTGACAGAAGTGGGCCTCCATCTCTAATGTCCAACACTTTTCCTTATCCTTGCAGCTATCATAAATGCCCTTTGAGTCAAGGTGCTAGGAATCCCTCCAGGAGTCTTGGGCGATGTTCTCCAATGATAGAGCCCACAATGTTCCTGGTTCATTCTGGAAATTTTGCTTTGTTTAGGGGCCACTCCTGCTGGTGCTCAGGGCTAACTCTTGGCTCTTCTCTGAGATATCACTTCTGGTGGTGGTTGGGGAACCACATGGAGTGCTGGAGATTGAACTGAGGTCAGCCATATGATAACTGTACTATCACTCTGGCTCCTGGAAATATTTCTTTGTGGGGACAAGTGCAGGTTTTCCAGAGAACTATGCAGTGGTAGGCAGGGAGTCTGTACCATACGGCAGAAATGAGGGCTCACCAGGAATACTCCTGACTTTCGTCATCCTTTATGCCTTTATTTGCTTATCTTTGAAGTGAGCATGATGCTATCACCAGTTGACTGTGCTGAAAAGAAAATGAGATAAATCAAAGCACCCACAGTCACATGGAGCACTGAGTCAGGATTGACTATGAGTACTGATAACAGTACACTTAGCCTTGGCTTGTTTGGGGCTGCTCCCATTTGGCACATGCATGCTGATCAAGAGAGCACTGGGTGGAGAGCTTGCTGCCGCAGTTTGCTGGTTGGTGCAAATTGGTGAGACTTTTCTACTAGACAGCTCCTACTGAAAGGCAACATGGAAGAGCCACACTTCTCTCAGCTCTGACAAATTCTCTAGAACAGAAGTGGTGTGCTGGAGGAAGGAACTAGAAGGGAGAAGGCAACTGCAAATGTGGTCTGTTCTTAGAGGGGGGTCTGTCGGTCAAAAACCTCCAAACATATCCAGCTTGGCATTGCATGGAAATTAGGGGGAAGTGATGTCAGTACTACAACGCACCTTCTTATTTTGGGTACTTCCTCAGGGTGTATAAATGTTTTAGGACAGGTTGTGTCGTTCTGATAGAGGTTCTGGGTCTGGTCATGATCACGATCACGATCATCCTGTTGTTTGTCGATTTCCTCGAGCAGGCACCAGTAACGTCTCCTTCTTCCTAGCCCTGAGATTTTAAAAGAGCCATTTCAATGCTCTTTCAGGGTTAGGAGAATGAGACCCATCATTGTTACTGGTATTTGGCATATTGAGTACGACACGGGGAGTTTGCCAGACTCTGCCATGTGGGCAGGATACTTTTGGTAGCCTGCGAGGTTCTCCAAAGGAAAAATGAGATAATAATATGTCACGCAGCCTAATGCAGCTGCGCGTTTCCGGGAGCTGGGTTTTATAGTCTTGGCCGTTGATAGGACCAACCTGGCGCTGGCAGCAGCTGGTGTGTGTGATGCCTACCTACTAGAAGATGGGGGGTCTGGGTGGAGAAGGCCCAGTCACAATCCGAGCAGGCTTGGAGATCTCAGCCCCAGGATCCACATGCCTGGGTTCCTCTGCCAGTTCTTTCATGCATGAGGCTTGCCCGGACGTGTATAGAGAGGTCCCAGCATGGCCGTGGCTGGCTCCAGAGTTCCTCAGCTGCTGGGGCTCTGCTTGGTGGGAGGGGAGGGAAACTCAACCCGCCCCGCCTCCAAGGGGCCCCAGTGAAGACAGCCAGGCGCGGGGGCAGGAGACTCT